TCAAGCGGACACTTGAAGAACTACAGTTTTTTGGAATGCAGGACATATTAGTGTTTAATGGAATGGGTACTCGGGACATGGAGTTTGAAAACTAATGTTACTAATTCAATTGGGATGTAAGGTCATCCTAAGGTAGCAGATAGTCACTGTTCCTTTTTTAATGGCATGGCTAGTCAATTAACCTTACTCCTTTCTTCTTTGACTATGTAGATTCCAAATATTAAATCTTGTCCTTTCAATCACTGTGCTTGCCCAATATACGCAAATCTATAGATTAACACATGACAATAAAATTGCCCAGCCAGTTGATCTACAATATATGTGTTGAGAGCCAGTCATTGGATTTTCGAATGGATACAAATCAGGCCTATACACAGACTTCAGTCTGTTCTTATCTGGAAAAAGAAGTGGCACTGATGATAAGAGAGGCGAAGTGATGAGTAGCATAACTAAAGAAATACTGAAAGACAATTGAAGGCTTAAAGTCTTGAAGACCCCAATCTAGAACAATCATATTTATTTTAGGAGCTTGTATATATAAAGGAGAGCATCTAAAACTGTAATAGAAAAGTTTCAATCCAAATTCCAAATATTGTTTTTTATTTATTTATTTTTATTCCGAATACTTTTCTGTTATTGGGTTTGAAGTGGGTGTGGTGATTTCTGAATATCTGTAACATACATTTGGGCAAGACATTCAACCAATCATCGCAATTATCACAAGGCAGCTATTTGTTTGGTGTTTGGAAACCAGCATTAGCATAGTTTGCAAGTGTGTTTTACAGCTTGAGTTGTTAATTGACAAGTCACAGATCTTCTCTTGGCAGTCAGAGTTTATTGTGGGCTGATGATCTATTTTCAGCAGTTTAGTGTTAAGCGTTGCTAGATGGAGTTCAGTTAGTATGACACTTGTTAATGCTACTCAGCAATCACTTGGCATTTCAGGTATACAGTAGCTTTGAAACAAATCCTAGCTGTTGTTGCGTTCGTATGCTAACTGTTGATGTGGTTGAATAAATAGTTTTGTTAGTTACCATTAAGTGACCAATAAATAAGTTTCAGGTAGCAGGGCTTCTTCTAACTCATCTTAAATTGTCTCTGATGACTTACAATTTTTGTTTGAGTTACATATGTGGCTGTTGTCTGCAAGCTAGCAGAGATGTCATCAAAATGTGATAACCCAACCCTGCACGGTCTGAAGAAATGACCTGAACAAAAAAACGTGTTCCTTTTTTTAAATTTGGTAACTTTAAAGTCATGAAGATTTATTTTCATTTAGACTATAGTTTATTATTCTTTTTTCTTCTTCCATCTCCTTAAAACCAGAGTATATTACCCCATGGTAAATGTTTTACTTTTTTAACATCTACTTTACTTTTAAAAGAGGTGGTGCATGTTCCTTTTAAAGTAATGGTTATTAATAAGCTTCACAGGGAAAAAAAATATACTATTTGCACCTGCTGCAGTATTAAGGGTACATTAACCCTGAAGGGCATGGGCCAGTGCTAATGGCCTTACAGGAGCAATCAGAAAACCTGCAAAAGTGTTACGAGGATGTTCGAGGGCAATAAAGCTGACCAGTCTTCAGAAATTCCCAAGGGTGATGGGGAGGTTACCTAGGGGGAGGATGTTAATGCAAGTATTGACCCATGTGCTAAGCTTTATATGTTTGAAAGATTGGCTAACTCACTGGCTGGTAGACGGTACAGATATCTGCAAGAACAGCTAAACCAAGAGAATGTTATTGGCCTAAAAACAAAGGAGCCACACATGCCAGCTCGAAGAAAAACTGCACATTTCCTGCAATCTTTTATTCCTGGTTTTCCTGTTGTCTCTGTATTCACGTTCTCTGCTTCCCAATTTACTCAACTCAGTAGTATCAGCCAGAAATCACACAGGCTCTGTGCAGCTGCTGTAGTCAAACCATCACAGCTATCATAAATCATATTGCCACTTCTCGCTCTGCAATTCAGTCACAGTCCTGCATATGGATGAAAACACCGGGGCTTTGCATCAATAACGCAAAAATTGCTTTGTGTGTTGAAACACGAGTGTGTTGTATATTTTATTCAGGGCTGTGTGGAAGTGTATAAATGGCTATCTTCCATTTTATTCAGCTATATGCTGGGGGTAATGACTGAATAATACCCGGCTCTGCTGTGGTTCATACTGTATGCATTAGAGGGCTGAAGGGGCTGGAACCCCCATTGGTTGTCACTGGTGTAGTATGATGAGTTGCTGAGGGCATGATGGGTAGAAAAGGGGAACAAGGATAACATCACAGGGTAGTAAACACATTACTGCTAAGAAATGAGATTTGGACTTTTATGTAGGTTATTTATGGTCAACAGACCTACAGTACAAAAAGACCAAAACCAACAATGAAATGAGCCTACAAATCAATATTATGCAGATACCTTTGGTTTGGTTCTCCATGCCATAGACTTTCAATATAAGCACCTTAATGATTCACTGTTAATGGGAAAGAGATAGTTAGTTTAAGAAATATGGACTCTGTAGTTTATTTTAAATCAATAACAGATGTAATTGCTAATAGCTCTCTAGTCAATGACTGCACATCGTGCTGGTCCATTTACTCCCATTTAGCAACTTTTGCTTAAAACTCCTATTGCTTTAACCATTAGTGACTAACCCATAAACTATTTTATTGTTATTGTAATACACAGAATACCAGCAGACACGTTCTTTAAATGTAATAGTATAACTATATGTTCTACATCATCTCAGAGGCCACATGTTGTGATGGCCAGGCCAGAATACTAACAACAAAGCTGTGTGTGAATCTTCATTGAGAAAATGTTTTAGTTCAAAGGGTTCCACTCAGTGAGTACAAAGCACAGAGAACCCCTCAGCTTAACTGAGAAACTTTACTGAAAGCTAAACATTTTGTTTAAGACTGGTGTTAAGTACTTTGACCCTCCGCCTCTCCAGCATTAGCTCTGGAGTTCTCATGGTCACATTTTCTCATCTTTGTCCAGGTACTTTACTCAGGGTTACATCTCTGTTCCCAGGACAGTCAGTGCTCCGTTAAGTGTCGTCTGTGTTTCTATGGATGATGCCCTGTGAGCTAACCGGGGCCTGTGAACAAACCGTCTCCCAGTCTGAGTGGACATGGCTTTCCTCTGGGAAACATAAGCCTCTAATAAGCTGTTCAACTTCAGTAAATGGGTGAAGGAAAGACAGAAAGTCTTTGATAGAGATTCCTGCAGGAGTTCAGGGAAGGCACTACAGCAGTTTTGCATTCCAAATGTGAACTTATGTTATTGAGTGTGGATGTGTTTGATTAATATAAGTCAGTCTTTGTGCATGAGGGAAAAAGTGAGAAAAAAACCCTTCTTAATTACAGATATCAGAAAATGTTACAGGGTATTGAAGAAAGAAATTTAAGAAAATAAAACTAATGAGTAAATAAATAACAATCAACTGAAGACCACATAATACAACTTCCTTGCACCTCTGGTAATGAAAAATGTAGAAGTGTATTTCTAACTTTTTAAATTCAATATAAAAAATAATGTCTCCTATTGGCCAGATCAGGCTAAGTTTTGAAGTAACAGATTCAAATTTTAAGATGAATGGAAAATTTACGAGAGCAAAAATTAGCCAGAACAGATGTTATGTGATGTTATTTTGGCACGTCTTTGAGGAAAGCCTGGCACACATGTCTTGGACCAGCTTATTGGGCTGGAGAGGAAGGAAGTTCAGTTGAGGAAAGACGGCATGACCTTTACTTTGAAACAAAAGAGTCAAATTGGGGGGACGTTTTTTCTGTGCAGCTATAGACTGATCAAATAACATTTGTTGCTTTACACACATATTATATTATTTAGTATTTATCTTAACACTAAGTTATGAAAACGACAGATCAGGTGAAGTGATAGAGATAAAGATAATTTTTGTTCAATATGTTTGTGTATTAAAAAAATAATCATATGGTGGAGTCTGTGTGACAAAGAGGGCAGTTGAAGGTTTGCATATAATGGTTATTCAGTGAAAACTTTAGCTCGAGCCTAATAAACAGCTTTTTTCATGAATGAAATTGCAAGTCCCAAGAGAGCCATAGAGGGAGGAAGAATTTCCAAGAGTAATCTTACAGACTCGTCTGAAAAATGCAGACACTCTGGGCACAGGACTGGATTATGTTATTGAAACTGTTCTGACCACTGTTCGTGGTATGAGTAATATGGTCCACCAGTGTTTCAGCATTGGCTTTAACCAGGAAAACAGTCGATGTGGAGAGCTAAAGGGGGGAAGGCAGTCCACTGTAGATTCACCTGAAATCAATGTCTCTAAACAGATGTTCGCACTCCAACTCCATCTTGCTTCTTCTACCAGCTGGCTACACCAGAAGCCTCATAATTACGCTGTTCTCCAAGAGACTACAAATGTTTTCAGACAGCTGGTCTGACTAAGTCTCAGAACCGTGTCAGTCTCGGGATCCACTTCTGAGATTGTTTTGACAGTAATGATATTGAAAAAGTAAAATTCCACAAAAAATGATGCGGAAATGGCGGATGAAGCAACATGGTCTAATGCTATGATGGCAATTTTTGACTTTATATCTCTGCTATGTAAAGTTGGACATATACTGTATATTGGATCAACGAAAGAGCAAAGATGAACATACTGGAGGAGAAAAAATGAAGCTTAACATTTTAGGACGTTTTCGGTCCATCCTTTTCACTGCAACAAGTTGAAGCCCCCAAACCTGGGCTCTAAACTCTGCTAGATAAACTATTAATTCACTGCTTTTGATTTCTCAAAAGGAATTCATTGGGTCCTTTTTGTTATCTTATTACCCATCTCCACTCTGCAGACCTGTTCTTTTGCTTACCTACAGTTGTACCTGAGAATTAAAAAAAGGATTACCTTTCATAGTCACATCTCACACTATGTTTTCCCCCCTTTGTGCAGCATCAAAAGACCTGGTCCTACCTGTTTGGGCGAAGCATGACAAAGTCACTCATGTAGTTATATCATTCATTCAGAATCAAAACATTTTATTGCATGAATGACATTTATCTTTGCCATCAGCCTGTACAGAGCTGCTAGCTTCTGACAAATGGGAGGAGCCCTAATCACATCACCCTGTTCCCACTACTACTATCAGTGAGTTAAACTGCACAAACAGATATAATCAATCCATCTCATTTCATTTACATAACATTTATGAAATACTTTTATTCCCCACTCTCATCAGCCTCATGTTCTAGCCATTAAAGATGAAACCTGGCTTCCACCAGTTGAACCAAGAACCATTTTGTAAAACATTTACAAACTCATTGTACGATTAAAAATAAGTGACAGTGTTTTCAGATCACAGGATTGACTTAAAGTGTCTTAAAGGCCTCTTTTTTATTGGTTCCCCTCCGCAGGAACTATGAACTATTTTAGTTCCTAGAACCCTGTTTAGAGGAACCTATTTAGCTCCTGCATCAGAGTAGGTTCTGTCACAGCACCATGCCACTGTGAATGCAGACATAAAGAGTCCCCATGATGTGTACCTGTAGTTCTCAGGGAACTCCCTCTTCAAAAACACCCCTGAACCGTTTGGTCTGAAAACCCCTAATGAGAACCAGGATATGACTGATAATACTGAAAGCACTTCCAAGGCTTTTTTTGGTCTCTGTTGAAGTTTGTGGCACCAAACCTGTTGTAACCTTGGTTTACTTGATTTTAAAACAATTTTCAACTTGTAAAATTATAATTTAGAAATCTCCAAATTAAGGACAACTGAACAACCAGCACCCAGCTCTCTCATCTTTGTGCCAACCCGTGGAGTTAAAATGTATTCTTCATTGCCCCCTTTGGAAGCAGATCTGCAGATCTTCTTTCTGTGTTCTCTCACTTCTGAATAATGGAGAAGGGTCAGATTGGAAGTAATTGATTTAATTTGCGCGCAGAAGAAGGAATTGATCTGTGAGTAACGTGCTCAGTTTACGGTTGTGAAAATTGGTGCCAATCTGACCTGGATTCATTTGCTTCACTGCACACACCCATTGTGTTCTTTAAAGAGCAAATATATAGTGTTTATTTCACATCATTGTAATGCCATTATTGAATCCATGTGAAGTAGGTGGAATATTTTTTAAAGGGTACTCATACATTCTAAACCTTACACTACGATTAAAAATAACCACACTCTAACCAGCTATACCACAGCCACATTTTCTTTAATTAAAAAAACCTCGTGATTTTTCTGTCTTTCAATACAATATTTACATCTCTTCAGTCGTATGAATTGATTAAATAATTCAGTACATTACAGCATATATACATACCAATGGGTACAATAAAAACCGTCATCAGCGAGAGGCTTGAGAGGGTTTTCTGGTCAAGTCTGTAACCTCAGGTTTAGAGACCTGAGCGCTGAGGTCTGATGCCGGTGTGTTAGCACCCCCTTCAGTTAGAGCACTGTTTTGTCCAGTGTTTCCAGTGCTGTTGCATGGTGTAAGAAAATGCCCTTGTGCAAAACACCAGGTAAAAAAAAAGATTAAAGAGGCTGAAAAACAGACAAACATACAAGAGAGAAATGTAAGATATGAAGGCATTTTAAGAAGGAAAGGGGAAGAGGGAGAGTCAGCTAGTAGGATTTTTTACTTCAGATTGTTCTCAATCCAGTCTTTAAAATTTGCTACATGTGTGTAGACTGTGTAGAGGTCTGGATCACACTCCCCCTGGTCATAACCAAAGCTCACCAGTCCCAGAAGTCTCCACAGCCCTTTGCTCTCCTTCTCAGCCGGTGTTAAGCCAACAGAGGGCTTTCGGTCGTGGCTGGCTTGGTTGTCAGAGAGGGCAGGGAGGACGAGGATCCCACCAGTGTCAGAGGGACATATGTTAGAGTGCCCATAGTCAGGCTTATGGCTGCCACAAAGCATATTGTCTGTGACGCTGACTGGCACGCCGTTGCGAGCGTACTGCTGCTCACAGGGAACTACATCAGCAAGGCGAACTAGCCCCACCCTCGCCTTCTCATCAGGACCCAAATTTGAGTCGGGAAGTGGAGACCAGCCTGTTACGAGCCCCTGTCCAGAGATGGCCTCTTCTCCTTGGCTGTCTGAGAGGCAAAGGGGTAAAACCTTGTCTCCAATCCTTGCTTTGTCCAGTAATTTAACGACAGCAATGTCAGAGTCCAGGATATGGGGGTCGTAGTTTGTGTGAACAACAATGGAGGCCACCTGAAGAAGATAAGAGAAGAATATATATATTTCATGCAAGTTTTGTATAATAAAAAGTGATCTTAGTAGGCTTACCTCAGGTGTTGAAGGCCTTTACTCTCCCTGTGGTCATCTCTGAAGTGCTTTCCCACCACCACCTTGATCTTGGCCACATCTAGAGGGTACACCTTCCCCAGCTCCGTCACACAGTGGGCTGCTACCACCACGCTGCGTTGGTTCACCATAGCCCCGCTGCACACCAGCTGCCAGTCAGAGGCCTCGTTGTGGTTGCCATTTCCTGCTCCGACGTTCTTCTTCAGGGACCCTGCCTGGCTGTCAGCCTTGCTCACCTTTGTCTCGGCTGCTCTGTTGGAGGAGCGGCGGTAGATGGCTGCCAGCCAAGGCCAGTGAGCCTCTGCAGGCCTCTCTGGGTCAAAGGTTGGATGCTTCCCACACACTGCCAGAGAGATGTGGTGGCAGGATGAGAGGACAGAGAGGGGAAAAAGAGGACAGGGAAAAATTAGACCAACATCGAGACGGTGTCAACACTTAATGCTGTAGGACTGTCTTTACATTGTCTTTCTGAAAGCTGATCTATTTAACACAAGTTTGCTGATTAAACCTTGTTTGCCAAAATGCAAACAGCTGCAAAGATAGAGTAGACATAAGAAATACCCCAAAACAAAGGTCTTGTGAATAATGAGAGCGCCTAAGTTGTGGAAAAAGACTTCACAGGTTTTGACATTGTGAGGCTTCTTTGCTCCATAACATCATGACTGGAATCCTCAAAAAATAAATCTAGCTCCAATGTTTGTTGATTCTGTTATAGATGTGTACAAACTCTCTTATTGAAGTGGGACACAGTCTACACCTAAAAAGTCTTTTAAGGTTGGTATCAGGACGGGCTGTCCATAGACAGCTAACCTTCACAAATACTGATTAGAGTGGTCAAACCAGTATGATCCCTTTACACCACAGAAGGATTCTGAACAGTGAATGAATAACGGTGTTATGAAGAAAAATAGGAACTTTTTTTTAAGTGTTTTTTCAACCATGAAGTGGACAGTTAAAAAGGAACCACTCTGGTTGAAGAAGTCAGGGCAACCTGTGGTAGTATGGTCTCATCATGTATTGGTGTTTATCCTCAATACATCCAATATTATTATGTTAATGGAAGGTACAGGGCAGGGTCCCATCAGTTTGCACAGGCTGATGGGAGTCAAGGAACCTCTTCAAAAGCAAAGTGGACACTGCAGCTTCAAGGTTTGGTGGGACTTCAACTAAAGTCAACAGAGTTGTCCTTCCGTGTTTGCATCATCATGTGATAAAACCATGTCACATGTTCGTGTTTATTATTCATCACAAGAAACGTTATGTAAGAAGCAAAGACAAAATCCCAAGGTTAAGTACATGCTACTATTCGTTAAGTTATTTTACATGACTGCACCTTATACAACAGTAAGTTCCAACCAAGCAATCTGATTGGACTAGAGGTAATTCATGAGTGACGATATAGGAGAACAACTTCAATCAGAGTCGCAAGAGTGCAGAAAAATAGAATGTGAGGGAGTGAAATTTTCCTGAATATCAGCACTGCTGTGATTATCTTCTGATATTCATTACAACCTCACTTCCTATTGTGGGATATTGCTTGATGAGGCCTATATTATATCTTAAACCTCATATCGTACTGTATTATTCCACACTAAACCATGTTAAAATGCTAGACTGTTCCACTGCTGTTTGCATAACTAACTGTAATATATCATACCCTGTCACTTTATCTTTGACGTCACTTTAATTTGTCAATCAGTTCGACATTCCTCTAACTTTTTTTTATTTATCTACTGCTATTTAAATTTGTATATTTACCTACTTGCCTGTGATTGCCTACCTGCTTTTTTTGCCTTTGAGATGCTATTATTAAAACACCATGTTGACTTTGTAACATAAAACCTTTAATTTAAAAAGCTGCTCCTGTTAATGATAAGGATCAGATTGTTGTGGATGTATTTTGTACATTTGCACCCTGGAAGAAGCATTTTTTTTATCAGATATTACGCTTTTCAATAAAGTTCAGCTATAATTATAAGCTAATGGCTTTATTAGCTTTGCATAATGTCACTGAATAGTACTGATAGAAGTAGATCTTGCAGGAATAACTAAAATACGTGTGAAGAAGCTAAAACATTTAGCTAAATGTCAGCAATTTTTTGATTTTCATGAAATCCTGAACACCTAAATTAATATTACTGAATAGATAAATACTGCTTCATTAGATGAATACATTATACACCATGTCAATTTTCTATCCAGAAATTATTGATACTATGTGGATTAATGTCACTGTAGGAACAAACTGTGTAAGTTTGTTTCTACTGTGGGATCAAGGAGATGCCCAGTGGCCAAACAACTCGTTGTCCTCTGCTGCCCTCACCTGGTGAACAGGAAACATGACGCCCGCTCCATTTCCCAGTCTTCAGGCAAGTGCGGCGTGAGCTGCCAGAGTGTTGGTAGAACTGAGAAGCGCACTCGTACTCTATATGTGTGTAGAGGGGATGGAATCCCTGAGGCAGCTGAGAAAGCGGAGGGGGGGCTTTGGAAGGGTCGTCAGACTGAAGCTGCCGGCCCTGCATAGTGGAGTAAAGTTTGTGCAAAGGTGTCTTTCTGAGAGGAGAAGAAAAGGGAATGAAGACAAAACCTTTTGCGTTAGTAAACACTTCTATATGTGAGTTCAGAAAAATATACACTTGCTTTTATGTCTTGTTACAGTAATATTCCTACTTGTTATGTTACTTGGTGTATTTATAAACATACCTGGATGGTGTCTGAGGGGGCAGAACTTTCTGTCTTACCAGCTCTGAAACTTTAGGCTCCCTGCATGCTGCAAATAAAAACATATAATATGTAACACATTCAATATACACACCAAGGTCCCATATACATCTCTTGTGATTTACATAGAATAACTGGAACTGGAACAGTAACTGGACTTTAGAGAAATATAAACTGACCTAAGTACAATGGGGCCTCATTCACCAACATCTTCAAAAGTTTTTTCTTATCTTTGTTCTTGAGAAGATCCTAAGGTAAGTGTTGGGCGGTCCATGAAGCTGTTCTTGAACTGCAGAATTGTTCGCACCTTTAACCAAAAAACTCCATATCCTCGTTAACTGGATGTGCATGTTTTGCACAGAAGGGATTTGACTGGTGGAACCCCAGAATTGACGCCAAGCCCCTTCTACTAACTGCAGTACAAATTAAACATCCTGATAAAATGTCAAAGATCCTTCAGGTGTGTGCAGTCCACAGCAGAACAGATTCTTATGTCGCTTTGAAGTAGACACTCACGGTTATGGAAAGTTCAATGATTGTATTGTTAGTTTTCTTTAACTTTTCTCTTCTACTCTGCTAATCCATTCATCAACAGAGCTGCTGTTCATGACGTTACATCCAGTCACTTTTTTAATATCAAATAACTAATTAAGACAAAACTACTGAGAAAGATGAAGACTTCAACATGAATCAGACTGATAATAACTATCACGATAGAATCCAGGTTTGAGAGACATGTACTTGCCATGTGTTACTTTAACTTTATAGTTTGACCCATGTAGCATCTAAAAAATAATAGCTTAGTGGGCGCTAATTAAAATAAATACTTTACAATTTTAAGGTGCATCTTTCGATGTTCGATTTGAATACCTGTGTCTGAAGGTAGGTTTTTATTGTTTTATTTACAACACATTTCTAAAATCTTACCCAAGTGCTTGGTTTATATTCATAATTTAAAATGTTGCAGTTTAGACCATCCATTCTTTATCTATACCACTTTTCCCGTTCAGGGTCGCAGAGTGCTTAGAGCTGTTCCCAGCTATCATTGGGCGAGAGGCGGGTACACCTTGGACTGTTCGCCAGTCAATCACAGAGCTGACATATAGACACAGACAGCCAGCCACTCATATTCACACCTACGGGCCTATTTAGAGTCACCAATTAACCTCCTCGCTATGAGGCAACAGAGCTAACCACTGAGTAGCCCCAGTTTAAACCAAATAAAAGTTGATTTATTTTAAATCACATATTAATGTAGTAAATTGGGGTTAAGTGTCTTGCCCAAGGACACATCGGACATGTGGCTGCGGTTACTGGGGATCGAACCCCCGACCTTCAGGATAGGAAATGACCGATTATACTAACTGAGCCAGAACCGCCCAGTGTTATATTATTCAATAATGTGCTAAATTAATAAAAAAACACATTTACCAATAATTTTCCCTGGAAAGGCAGCATTCAAATATGTGTAAGAGTTCTCTAAAGTGTTGATAGAGTTTGTTCTTAACTACAAAAAAATCAAAAATAAGAAAACTTTGGTGAACGTTTTCAAATTTTCTTGAAAACTGTGTGAGTGGGTTTTATGAACACATTTCTTCCTGAGGTTGGTTGACTGAGGCCCACTGACTGGCCCACTTTGTGCAGAATTTAGAAGTTGTAGACACGATAATGGCTAAAGGAAAAGTTTGGCAGTTCGGTGAATACAGTTACTTCCTTACTTGCCTAGAATCAGATGAGAAGAAAAATACCTCAGTCATATGTATAATTCAGCCAAGAGACCGTTGGTGCTAGTTTAATAATGTTTAAGGGCAGATATGGAGCTTAGCTGTGTTTGGTGATTAAATGAAATCTTTCCACAGATATCTAGAGAGTTCTATAGTTAAGACATGCATTTCTTGGTTGTTCAAGCTATACAAGAGCTGAGGTGAGAAAGCAACAAGTGCTTGAGACATTCAGGTGGATTTTATTAGCTGAAGCATGACTCACTGTTAGCCGTGTTTCAGTTTCTATGTTAAGCTACATAGAGCTTGTTGGCTGCTTGTTGTAGTGGCATTAAGGAGACAGATGTGATCATGGTATAAATCTATTCAAGTAACTCTCAGCAAACAAAAGACAAACAAGTATTCCCAGAATAGAAACGATTAGGCCAAGTTGAGAAAAAAAAGAAAAGTTGGCTGCTATATATCATCTCATGATATATGAGAAGAACTTGCTTTGTCTTTTCCCCGCAGCTTGTTAATGCATCAGGGTGGTCCTGCCAATGGAGAGTTCAACCACTTACCTTTTTGGCAAAGAGCATTCAGAACATTCAGACCATAATCCATTAAGAACTAATTAAAATGTACTGCCCCAGACTGATGAATGGTTGTCCTGAGTGAAGCCATTTAATAAGTATTAAGTATTTTACAACCTTTTACTTACTAGATTATACATCTAAACGTTTGATAGCTTGATATGAAATGATAAAACCATGACCCCTTTTTTATTATCTAACATCTCCCGTATATGTATATATATAATTTATTTATTTTATTTTTTTACAAAACTTTCAGTTTTTGCAACCGGCCTTTTAGATGATTTAACTTTTTAGAAGTTGGTGTTTGTGTTGATTTTGGTTCCCTCTGTGGACAAAGCGGTACCTCTTATCTCTTTACTAATGATGTCTTCTACATGTGCATGTACTCATTTCTCTAACAGAAATCATATCCTGCTTTCTTCGAAGAGTCAAATCACTCACTGGGGATATTTGCTGTGGGAAAATGTGGAGGAAAAATGTTTCTTCAGAGTAGGGCTGGGCAATTATACCTCAAATCAATATCACCATTAATTGAACATTTTACCTCGATTACGATTAATTTACAACTATTTCGTTTTTGTTTTTTGCCATCAAAGTTCACTGGCATGGTCTCTACTGTAAATATGTCCAACTATTAAAGCTGGGATATCTTTCTAATGAAAGAGTGCATATCTGATTAACTATTTTGTGGTTATTTTTTAAATATTTCGAACTGAAATCAAAGCATCGCTTGACATTTTAGTTTTAAAGTAAAAAGTAAATTCTCTAAAACAGTAGAAAATAAACAACTTGCAAAAGTTTTTCCGCAGTGTTTACATTTGACTTCTTTTTGGTCGGTGTCGTCGTCCCTAAAGACAGAACGTGTCCGAGCAGATTGGACGTGTCGTCACGTGACTCTGCTCTGAAAATAATCGAAATAATTGACATAGGCAAGATTACATCAATTAGAGGTTCTGATGTCAGTTCATTTTCAATTAATTGCCCAGCACTATATCAGCGTGATGTAAATTGTCTCATCCCACAGCTACCCTGTGACGGTTATATACAGTCTATGGACAGCAGTTTCAGACGTTAAAAATGACTGTATAGAAATTAATTACCAACAGGACGAACATTATTTTTGCTGATGGTCTTGTTTGCTTTTGTATGATCAGAGTTCTTGGTTAATGAGATCAAGCAGAGAAAGGTACCTCTGACACAGAGGGGTTGTTTTCCACTCCAGGTTCCATCAGGCTGGCAGGTACGCCTGGCGTCACCACTGAGGGCGTAGGAATGATTACAGAAGAACGCCACAGTATCAGGTTTAACCCCCGGAACAGGCTGCTGGTAGCCATGGTAGAGGCGAGGGAGAGGAGGGCAGCTTTTCTCTACAGGAGGGGAACAGCCAGTAGGTGAGGGCAAAGATCAAGGACACAGGGACAATGATATTCACTTTGACATGTTTTTTCAAAAAGATTTCTTACCGTCGAAGCTTTGGTTGATTTCTTTTTCCTTCTCTTTTTCCCTCTCCTCTTTCTCTCTCTCCAAATCCTCTTTTGTTTTCTCGGCAGACTTCTCTTGTTCTTTCTTTTCTTCTTTAACTATTGGTTTTTCCTTTGCTCTTCCACTCTCCTCACCTCCTCCTCTGTACAAGGTGTACTGAGTAATGTTTACCCGAGGTGGAATGACTTTCCTTCCCAGAGAAACGATGGTATTATTGTCTGTCGTTGGATCCTTTGTACCATGTAGAATTGTGTTGTTTTTTGTCATTTCCACTTCAAATATCTCCACTGTGTTTTCACCCTCAGATATGACCGTCCTCAGCTTGGTATCGTTAGGCCCCACTTTGTCCTGATCTCTTTTTCCATTCACCTGCTCCTCTTTTCTCTCCTTTTCCTCTTGTCCTTTGTCTTTTATCACAATTATTTCTGTGATGTCTGTCTTTCCTGAATCCAAGTCTGCATCTTCCTTTTCCTCAGGCGGCTTTCCTACCTCAGGTTCTGTCTTTTCAACTGTGTTCAAGCTGCTGTCTGAGCCTTTGCTATCCTCTTTATCTTTACTTCCTCCTGTGGGTTTTTCTGACCCACTATTTCTTTCCCCTGGCTCCTCTTTAGTCTTATCCTCAGCCACAGTTTTCTCTGGAATGGTACCAGTATATTTATCTTCCCCACTGACTGCTGTGGTATTCTCATGCCCGGTGTTTTTATCTCTCCCTTGTACGCTTTCTTTTTCTCCAGTTGTTTTCTCCTGACCTTTCTCTGTATGTTTGCTGATGTCTTTGTCAATGTAGATATCCGTTTCTGTGTCCTTCGTATTGTATTTGTCCTTTTCTGCTTCAGATAGAGTATTATTCACTGCAAATATAGAACATAAAAAACTTGACATTTAGCAACTTATTTCAAATACTTCTGTCAGTGCTGGTTGGTCATGTATCTGCTTGGGGCTCAGACAAATTTTTCTGATCTATTTAAGACTTTAATCATCATGAGAAACAAATACAATGAACCATATGTTCTTTACATTACTTAAACTAAATCCATTTTCTATATTTGCCAAAATGTAAGAGTCTTTCTGACCTTGGGTGCAGACGGGAGGAGGCCCACCCCAGGTGTTGTTGGGGAGGCAGGTTCTCTGGGAGTTTCCACTGAGCTCATAGGGATTGTAGCACAGGTACTGCAGAGCAATAATGACATCATTGGGTCCATAAACCAGGAAGTGGTCCCCATGTGTTGGCTTAGGTGGTAAAGAGCAGACTCTCTCTAGTGGCACTGGAGAAAATCATGACAATAAGAAAAGATAAATTAGGCTTTTAATATGTGGACCCCCCCTACAGTACAAAGCTTAATAATACTGCAGAAAAAAATAATCGATCCACATCAATATCTTACCACACTTGGGGGCAGGTGCACTCCAGGAGCCGTCACTCAGGCAGATGGCAGTGCCAACCCCCCGCAGCTCAAAGCCAGGGTCGCAGCGGAAAGTGACGTGTGCCCCCGAGTGATGAAACAAACCCTCTGTTGATCCATGGGTGGGGACTGGAGGCCTTTGGCAGCCCACCACTGAGTGGAAATACAGGCATGCATATTTTATACATGCTGTCTTACTTTCCTATTCCTTAACTCAAAGCAAGATGACCAAAATTAATAGGTGTAAAAGGATTTGGAAGGCATCCTAAGCATTCCTCGAGCTTCTGTTTATTGTATCTTTGTGCTGTAGAAGACCACACAAACAGACCTGCAGTGGGTTTATTAGCGTCTGGTGTTTGCAGGTCCGACAGGTAGCTCATAAAACCAAAATCTCACTCTGTGCTCTTAATTTAGAAATATGCAGCAGTTTTAAAGCCTAGCCTGCTACCTTAAGAGAACCACTAATGGATAATTTCACCCATTGTGGTAAAGTGTGAACAGTTCACAGCAAGACTTTCACACATGGCTTGTAAATGAGGGAGAAAAAGTTACAATAAAAGCAGCCCTAGTCAGAACTGTTCGATTTTCCAGTGTTGTTAAAGTGGATGAAATGGGGAAGAGGGGATTGATAATGGGGTGTTGGAATACTGTGTTATTCTGTTATGTTGCAAACTGCTACAAAAAAAGATGTCATATATGGGTAAAGTATTTATTTTTGCATTTTGTGATGTGCTATTTCTGAGTTTAGGATGCATTTCTTACATAAAGGCAAGCTGCAATTGTGTCCACACAAAACACATATGCTAACATTTGGTGATCATCAACTGGAGGCCCGCGAGCCACATCCAGCCCGCAGAATATCAATTATCTCGGGTGATTTAACAATAAACATAAAAATAAAATCACAAGGCTGAAATACTAGCATTACATTCAAAAATACATTTTCCCTCTGACACTGACTTCTGCACATCGGGCTTGACAGCTGTCAGGCTTATGTGCAGCCATATTTTAAAGTCCGACACCTACAGTGTCTGTCAAGACAAAAGCTGGCCGTCAAATGTAGACGATGACCCCTGACTTAGGGTTTCAAACCATAACAGCATCCTCTGTGAGATGAAGCTGCAGGAGGATTTCCGTGTTGTGAGTTTAAGTTGGGTAAGATCCATGAAATTCTTTGCTTAGGATTTTATTTCCAAACCAAGTACCGTAACTCTCTCTATCATCTACCTCACAGTATATGAAACCCTTTAGTCCTGTAGGGGATAAAGACTGCGGTTGTTCCACCCAAAAGTGGAAGCAAACTGCAGTTGACCTTTAAATGTTTTTTTAAAGACGTAGAAGCTTCCGGCTGTTTTGTGGGCACGTTTAGTTTGTGCTTAAAATGATCCAATCCTCCATGACAGGTTTTGTCTCCAGACATAATAATGACTGTGGAGTTTTTTTTTTTAAAGGTGGAATGCTTACATAACACCAAAAACCACACATACTGTAAGTCAATTATCATTCCTGTAGTTAGATCCCTTGTTTAAAACTCAACTCCAGAACAGATTAGACTCTCAGATAGATTGAACCATACAGAGTGAAAGAGAAAGTGGAGAGAATATATTTTCCATCTTCAGCTTTCATGATAACGTATCAGAATCATCTCATACAGGATGAGTTTGAGCTCAGGCTAACACCACATGACAGGCTGACTATCAGAGACATAAAATATGGTTGATGTCAGGTTCTTACTTTAAATTCTCCGTCTGTCTCTGGGGCAGAAATGTAGACTACGCTTCCTCCACAAAATGTCAGACATTAGCGTTATTACACCTCCATTCCATTAAGATTAACAGCTGAGGAATCCTCAAGGGGAATACAGATGAACGAACACAGTGTGGACCCTTTTTTTTTTTTTTTTACGAGTGTCTCCATCAATGCAAAAGTTGGCTTGTGTTACAGAAGAAGAATTATTTCACCATCAGTTTTACAGACTTGAGCCCTAATGTGAAAAAAGGGAGTGGGGTTCAGGAAGTCTGTTTTTGCAGGATCTTAAGGGAGGGGTATAGGATATATAAACTCAAGGTAGGGTCCAGACACCCGTAAATAAAAGACCTTGTAGGCCAACCGCACCCTGATTGAGCTGCACCCCACATGAAGATGGAGCTCTGCTAGTGTGGTGGTTCAAAAATGACTCCACAAATAAGTGGCTTGCTGAACTGTATTTTTGCAGAAGAATTTTCCCCTTTTAATATCTCTGCTCAGCAGCGCTTAATCGCACAAATATTTCTTACATGGTTATTTGGATCTGTAGCCCATCTGTTGAAAAAACTGTTTTTATATTTTTCATACTTGTTAAAGCTGACTGACCAAAAAACCCTAGATGTGACTCAATGGACAGGGAAGGCAGCTGGCTTGAATCTCTTCCAGACCACAGACCTCACCCTGGTGACTGTGAATCACAAACAGACTTAACGGAATAAGTCAGTTCTTGAGAGGTTTTTTCGTAACCAGGTGTGTCCCAATTCAGATGAGAAATGCTAAAAGAATTCTGAGATATACCAACAGTCAGAGTACAGCAAGACTCATGTCTCCAAGATGACTGGAAAGATGGAAACATGGATTCATGTCCTGATATGTCATGAAGGACTTATTTATTTTTCTTTGTGATTAGAACCAGCAGACATGGTTTTATTTTCCTAAATCAATTTCCTCCCCCAACAAAAACAGACATTTAAGCATATTTCATCAAACACGATGACACTGCAGAGGCTTCAGTTTCAGTCACAGACTCACCGTTTTCGCATCTCTTGCCCGTGTAGCCGGCCAGACAGGCACAGTGGTATGTGTAAGAACTGTCCAGGATGCAAGTCCCATCGTGCAGGCACGGTGAGGAGCTGCAAGCTGTAAACAGAAAGTGTGTGAACTTAACGCTACAAAAAGAAATGTTGTACACTTAAGCAGTGTAATCATGTAACCTGTATGCTGAAAGGAGTGACTGACCATAACAAGCTACACCGAGGGATTAAAGCTGGCATGGTTTAAATATCACTTTCACTTTCCATTGTAGGAGTCGGTGCGTGTGCATCTCTACACAGAAAGCCTCTGTTTATTTTAACTAGATCTGGCATCGCTGCTTACGACCTGAGAGTGTGCGCGTGTCTGCTTCCGAATGAGGACATTTCTGGAAAGCAAGGACATTTCGGTTGGCCGTCACTTTCTCAAAGGGCTGTTAGGAGAATCAACTTCCTGACAAAGTATTTTTTATGGAACATGTAGGTGTCAGTCACGCACTGTTAAAGGGGTTTGTTTTATTACACTTGGACTCTGTGTGACTTGGAAACGTCTTTCTGATTTGTATTTGTTGGGGTACGTGACTGCAAAGAGGTCCTTTGTTCATTGAGTTTGACATTCCAAATTACTTTTTATTTATCGTGAATAAAGCAAGGAAAAACTTGAGGCAATATTATTAAATCAAGAACTGGCTTGGGTTTAAGGTTAAGGTTCCCCTAAGGCAGCCGTAAAGGGATTTGGGGCATGGTATGAATAACATTTCCAAGGTTCCTCCAAAATTATAGGAGCTATATGCTAGTGATACATATACATAATGACAAGAAGCATTTTTGTTTTTTTCAGATAACACTGGTACAGTATTCGACCTGCCTGAGTTCTCCTGGAAAGTGGCAAAGAAGCCATCAAAGTTCTTGTAGCCATCAGACACGAAGAGGATGTGCAGACTGTTTCCAGAGCTCTGAATCGGGTCGGGTCTGTTGTTCCCACAGAATCGACCGATAACACCTGAGTTGATGCTGTCACCGTCTCGGACCTCCACGTAGTCATAGCGACAAGAATGGTGAAGCTCCAGGCTCAGCATCATAAACCTGTTAGTGTCAACAGCAGGACAAATAACATGAAACAGTGAGAGTATGACAAATACATTTAATTTCATATCGTTTGAGTCAACTTTTTTAAAGCGGAAAATAATCCATTGTGGAAATGGTTGAGCTGACTGAGTTTAAGTTTCTGTTGCTCCTGCTGTATTCATGTTTTCCCCGCTTTATGAGAGCACCTGTGCTCCATGGAAGTGCTGGCTGGAATCACCGTACTGGCCCTTTAAAATCTTCAGCCAGAGAACAAGTAATGCACAGTAATAAAAGTGAGTGGATAAATTAAGGGTTGCTAAAGGGAATTTTCCAACTATAACAAGACTTGCTGTTTTTAATGGTGTATAAAACGTGACTCATTTAATCAGGTCTAACAGAAGGTAAAGACTAAGGCTAATGGTCTTTGTTGTGTTTTTGTTCTTTGTTTGTTTGTTTGAGATAATACTTAAGATGGAATCATGACCACATTCTTATTGTTTACAGTAACTCTGTACCCTCATTAGAAAACTGCAGATGATTTGACGTAAGGCGATGATCATTCACACTTGGCAGCAACAACACAACTGTCAGCACATCAGGAAACCAAAAAGCAGATGCATAGTTTGGGGCTTTTGTGGTTTTAGAGCCATTTTGAAAGTGTTATTTGTCCTTAACACTGGGTTTTACGTGCACATATAAATGCTGTCACAGTTACATAATCGACCATAAGTACAGCTGATTGTCAGCATCACCCCGTCCTGGTCTAAATGAGAGATCTTGTTATTTCAGATCAGCAACTATTAAATGTCTAAAAATAAATCCATGACTGCTGTATAAACATGTTAATTACACAGCATCATTTCAGACCCCATTCTAGAAGTGGTGATTACTGGTATGACATATCTGAGTAAAGTGTTAATCCAGAAGAAGTTGTTTAAATGTCCGATTAGATGTGAACTTAACAGAGTGTGATAACTGTTTGGAGATATTGTTTGCAGAAGAAAGTAATTTCAGTATGATTCAATTTGGTTCAGTTGTAGTCAGAGTGTGACATTGAGAAGACATGCCAGCTGGATTAGGAAAAACCCGGAGGAGGCTTCTTTTCCCTCCTGATGTAATCTCCATGACCTCACATTGGATCTGATTTAAAAGGACTGATGAACCTTTGTACAAGACACTGGCAGTTTACCAAATCCCCTAACTTTGCCCTTTATCACAGACCCTCGGGTTAAGGAAGCTTAGACTAATGAGGTATTAAGTAATGCTAAATGTTAGCCTGCAGGAGATCCCAACAATTAATTCCAGTTGTAACTCTGGAAATGTGTCGCAGTGTACTGCAAGCCACTGTCGACTAAGAAAGAGAGATGAACAAATAAAATCCAAGAAACACTTCACGATCTTTTACTTTCTGAGGAAGTCTCAGTTTTTTTATTCAGGGGATTTGTAATATTCATATCGAAAAGGCGAAAACATGACAATGAGTTCAGCCTAACATTGGAATTGGACGTAAATCATAGTTCACAGTTGTTAGGTGTAATGTTAAACTAAAAAGACCTTAAAAAGTACTTTGAATCATTTAATGGTTCGTATGCGCACAACAAACAGCCTGTATGTAACTGCATGGAGCTCATGTTCTGCTGAAAGCCAGCACCAGTGCTCGCCTGTAAAGTGTTGCATGTGTAATGGAGAAAATGACAGAAATAGAAAGTTATCACAGGACTGAAAAGTAATAACTTTTCTTTGTAAAAAAAAAAAAAGAAAAAGGGGGGAAGTTGTGGTTTCCAAACTTTGCTGTGGACTTGCCATCTGTCCATGACACACGTCTTGTAAAAAATATCTGAACTGAGTGGAAACTTGACATAAGCAGGCCAGCCATTAATATCTACAACAGATGGGCACTGAAGAGTCCAAAAAATGTTGCTTGAATACCAAATTAAACTGAGGTGATTGTAACTTCAATGAGAGAAGCATACCTTTTTAAACTATCTTTGGTCAGCTTTTGTCTTTTACTTGCTGGCAAACTGACTTCCCTACATGGTCAGTGAGGACCAGTACATAAGAACAGAGCAGGATCTCTATGGTCTCACCTGAGTTCTATGGTAAAGGGAGGATCCACCTGTATTGTCCACTCACAGCGAGCGTTGTTGGGGTAGCTCTCCAGCACTATATGGCCCTGTCGTTTATGGATCACTCCACCACACTCTGAAAAACACACAGGGGAATGGAAACACTTTATTTTGGGGCTGCTATTTAAATTTCAAGAAGCTGTTAATCACTCCTTAATTATTATTTTCAGGGTCTCCATTCAGCTGCTTTGGTTACCATTCAAGCCAAAAAGCAATTACATTTAGGTTTCTGAAGCAACAGTAAAGACCCTATGTTGTGCTCAACAAGATGACGGATAAACACACAGGGGCAACAAACACAGTCGGGTTGTGTTTTTAATTAAATGTATGCTAGTCCCCCCCACACCCCTCGGCAGATCGTTTGCATACGGAGAAAGCTACAGTCAGTGTCCAAATGTTACATATTAAATTGCTTTATAGGTTCCTCAGAATGTTGACTCTTGAGTTGTCCTGGGCTTATGGCAGCCTTCCAAGCTGGCATAGCTGTCCCAGTAAAGATAAATCAGCTGGGGGGGAGGAAATAACGTATAGAACATGGTATTTATTTATGTTTAAAGAAAAGAAAAACTACACAGCAAAGCCTTTTAGAATCCACTAATAAGGAGAATGAAAAGACTTACTCATGCAGTCCCCACCGGACCAGCCGGGGCGACACTCAGCGCAGTATTTCCCGTTAATGAAGAAGTCATCCCGGGGCCCCCATGTCCCGTTGTTACAGCGCTTACAGTTTTCAAATATACTGCAACCTGAAAGAAAGAAAGAGAGATAAGTGCAAAGTGTGAGTCTCCAAATGAGACAAACGATGAAATGAAACTTTCTACAATTCTGTTTGTCTAAATTGGAAACAGCACGTCATGTTACCCTTAAATAAACTCTGCTAAACTCATTAAGCTCATCCTTCACTACAACAGAATGTAAAAAAAAAAAAATCACAGCTTCCTGAAATAGAAATGTGAAGAGAACCCCCTGCAATGTCTCCCTGTGAGGATGGATTTTCACTTTGGCCTTGAATAAAAGGTATGAGTTTTAACAACAAATGTTCTGGGATGTACACATGGGAATATAAGGAGTGTACACAAGGCTTGGAACACTTTTCTTGTTTTTTAACAGCAAAACATGATGTACAGGCATCCATTAAATGTCTGACAGCTATTTTCTTCCCCTATAAAGGAAAACCTGAGTACACTCAAGCTGTGAGGAGAACATGACATATAGCTACAGGCGGATGGCATGTAGGAAAATAACACGGAGAAAGCAAGAGTTTGGATACGTGAGCTGCAGAACACGTGTGCAGACTTCCCTGTATGATTATATACCCACCTGTACTTCACAATGATGCACTCATCTCGGAGTATAAGCACAGACAGATTTACACACATTTCTTTGAAAAAAGTCAAAGGTAGTTGTGTTGTCATTCAGTTTGTCTTCAAAAGGATGCTGCTTGTCAGATTCTCTGGAAACGAATTATCAAAGTTAGTTATGAGTTAATTTGAGGTTTTCGCTCACACTGTCTGGAATGCTCTGATGAAAACAGATGTGCTGTTGAAAGAAGGCAATAGGCCTCACATAACTTTACCGCAGAACTCAAACAAAGACCAGTTTCAAGGATGTAAAATCATGGCTGACTACAATCAACATTTGTAAACTGCACTATCTTGCATCCTATCATCTGTCTGGCTTTCCGGTAGCCAGCAGTCAGCCATAAACAACTTCCAGTGAAATCTTCCTTTTCCATGTGCTGTATGGTTTACAGTCCAATTAGCAACTTTAGAAGCAACCATGTGTTCAGATAAAAAGCTAATTGAAAGTCACCCCTCCAGATGTGTGCAAAGTAAACACCATCTTGGTGCATTCATCATTTCCCACAAAGGAGTGTGCATCATCTGTTTCTGGTGGGTGTCAGCTTTTCTGTAATTAGAGGCCCTGGTCATACAGAGGCTTTCTTTAGTCATATGATCTCAAAGACGGGTCTAATGTTCTTGTGATTTCCTTCAAATGAACGAGTTTGATTTGTCGAAATAACATCATGAGGCAAATTTGTTAAAAAAAAAATAATGCTATGAATTGGTTTATAGCATTTTGTATTGTCTTATTGTTGTGTATGTATTTTAATATATGCTCATAAAGTGTTATGGGGTTTTATGTGATCGAATGTTGTACATTTGGAAAATTAGCAATAGCTATTAACTCTCTGTGCAGGACATCAGTTTCCTGCTCTGTATTGAAACTATGCTAAATTGCATTGTCCATACTAAATAAATGAATTCTAATTCAAATCTAAAAATGCAAGCTTTATCAAGTGTGTCCTCAGGAGAAGAAGAATCCACTTTGGAAATTGATCATTTCTGATGTATTCCAGGAAGTTGGTAAACCACTTATCGTTTATATAAATGCTTACACTGCAGTGTTTCCCCTAGGTTTATAGCTTGGGGGGGGGGGGTGCGGGCAGACTAACACCGACACAAATACTTGAAGGAAACTTGGTGTGTTACTTTTAATGACAGCTGTCCTGTTCTCTCTGAAAGGTATCCTTAAATGACTTATTTCCTTGATTTCCGACTCTAATTAATTTAATTAACTTGACCTTCAAGGAGGGGGGTGGGGGGCTGTTGGGGGGGTGGGCTGCCCCCACTAATATAATGGTAGGGGAAACACTGCACTGTACATAAATCAGCGTCAGATTACACTTGTGATGTCATTACTTGCGGATTGTCATTGGCCTGTTTTTGTTCTCTTTACTGTACAGACTATTTTTCCTGCATTCACTATACCTGCTGATGCGTGATTGGTCAATGCTACTTTGACCACAAACATACTACAAAGAGAAACCAGAACACTTCCCAGACTGAAATCCAAGCCACAGATTGAACATTTTAATGTGTATGGAGATTACATAGACTTACTGTATAAAAAGAATACTCTGTTACATCTTTTCACTGTGCTCAAGGTAATACTATTTGAAATTTCTAGCAATTCAAACATGAATATTTGCAAAGGTTCTACCTGGATGGATGATGCAGGGGTCGCACTCATTGATGGCGTTGCGGCAGCAGGGTACAGCATAGCCCACCGGAGTCCCCTGCAGAGGGCATTTACAGCGAATCACGTCGTACTCGCAGCAGGCTCTGCACATAACGTTCCACTCAGGGCCAGGGCAGTGGTTGTACAAATACCTGTAATCTAAATGAGACAATATGTCTGAGTCAGCAACTATCAGGAAAGCAGGAAACATTTGTTTTTGTAACCATAATTTTGGACAGAAAAGGGGGGGAAAGAGGAGTCAAACACAAAGAACATGTGACAAATGTATCGTTGGAAAATTAGAGCAGACATGGGTTATGCTCAGCAGTGGAAGGATTCTGGTTAATTGTTTATATGAACTGCTGCTCCGTACTGACTCTTGTTATTTCCACTGCTACATGGTTGCAAGCTTCTTGTTAGAGGACCACAAGCCGAACAGTGGTTTACCTCCCCTGTGATAGATTACCTCAGAAAACATGCCACTGTAGAAAGAAAACAGAATCAAGTCATACATCAGAAAGTGATTACAAAAAGCCGTGTAAATATTGATCTTCTTCTTTTATACAATATATGCAATGTTTAATTGAACTGAAAACCAGTGACTCAATAAGGTTTGAGCCTAAGTGCTTAGTATTATGTAACAGTGGATTTAAAAGCTGAAAAACACAAGTGGAAATTCTCTTGTGGCAGATGTGGACTGAGGACTCACAGAAGCTGCACTTTAAACTTGGCACAATGTCACTGCAGTGTTTTCTTTTTAAACCCTCCTCCCAGCACTGCAATCATAATAACTTCTCTGCCCACAACCTGAAACTCCCCCTTATTGTTTGGCCTTTTACTTTACAACCGAAAAAACACACAAACACACTTGCATACTGGTTTTATTGGCAAAACCATAATTGTGCACAGTGGGTCTATTTGTCATTTATAGGAATTTTGAAAAACCGAGAATCTCGAACAGAGGCGCACAAATGCACTGACGCACAAAAGCAACAAGCACAAGCCATTTGTCTGCTAGTGGATGTTTGCAGACGGTCAACTAGAGAGGAGAAGCGCAGATGTCTTGGAATGCTGCGAGTCATCCCCTGCTGCCCTTCCACATTTATGATATCATAAATTGTGTCTTGGTCCAGCTTCAGTCTGGCCTTCTCCCCAGATGGAAGAAACAGTAAGGTATGACATACAGACTGATATTAATCAAACAGAAAAGGAGGTCGTAGGATGCCACAAGGTCAACTTTAGTGCAGGTATAAGCTCAGAATGTGTGCTTCATAAAGCTGCTTCAGGCTGTTTTATGATTTCTGTAATTTATTGCTTTGACAACACAGGCTCAGCTGGATATGTGTATAAGAGCATGAGCTGCAAAACAGACAACATTGGGGCAGTCTGTTTTTCTTAATGACATGGCGTGCTTAAGATCTCAGAATATGATTTGTTGTCATCAAACCTTTTGGGAGCAATGACGCCCAAGCCAGTCACTTACATAATGCTCGTGCTGTCACCCTAACTCACAGTAATGATTTCTTGAGGTCAAAATCAATCCAAACTTACAACCCCTGAGCTTTTGTTTTTGAATCAAAGCAGACGTTGTGGCATTGTTGTCCTTTGTTTAGCTCAGTCTGCCTCACTGAGACAAAAACAGAGAAGCTCTTGGACTCGGGCCAGAAGGACATTTCTGCGGATTTCTTTTGACCAAGTGTGAGACCCACAAACATCCGAGGCATGGGCATGGCCTGTATGTTTGGAGAGATGTCTGTTGAGACTAGAGGGCTGCCTTCACACTGAAGACAAAAGTGACCTGAATCTGACTTTTTTTTTGTTTGTTTTGCTCCTCTGTGACACAGTGTGAACAGCACAAGTCACGTGGAATCTGATCTTTTTAAATCAGATTTGGGCCACTTTGATACATGGATTCCAACAGGAGTCTGATACAGGCCATATTTAAAAAGCAATGGGAACAGCCAAACAAATACACCAGATCTGAGCAAAAATGAAGAATTGAGCATTGTAAACATTGAGCAGCGTAAACATGAGGAGGATGCTTTACAAAGAGTAGAACTATGTATAAATATTATCCAATATATGAGTCAAGTACAAATATGAAATGTGACAATTTTCTGACAAGATAAAACCTGTTCCACCAAATGTTACTTATTTATCCTCAATACATATTTGTCAAATCTTATCAAATCAAAAATTGTTTGTAAAAAGACAGTCTTCATCCTTGTCAAAACCTGGAGCCTACATTATCCACAATACAACTTGGCCCACAATGCTTCAGTAGGAGATAGGTGTGTTATACTGTTCGTGGCTTACATAGCTTCAAGCCACTTGCCTTAAGCTATCATGACAAGCAGGAGCTTGAATCTTTTAAACTCCCCCATTGTTTTGTCTCTTCCAAGCTTGTAGTCTTCAGCACATATCAATGGTGACTCATGCAACATCACTTGAGGCAATGTTAGGTACAAGGAACCAGTGTCTTTGATTTAAGGGGATCTGTGAGAGAAATGGAAGATAATTCACTGGAATGCTTTTATGAGGTTTGAAAATAAAGCTGTTGTGTTTTCGTCCATCATTTTGCATTGTTTCTATACAAAACCAAAGACATACTTGGCTATAGAAGCACATTTTGCTATTTTAATTTATTTTTTGCAAGTTTCACAGCTATAGGAGGTTTCCCATGCTTGAATAGGGACAGTAAGGTGAGGTGAATCACTTTGCTGAAATTGGCAACATCATCACCAGAATAAATCATGCACCCGTTTGTGAGTTTGTAACTCCCTAAAAAAGAAAAACACACATAATTTGATTATGTATTTTGGCAGCTAATTCCTGATAACAGTTGCCTGACTCTGTTTAGGCTTGGCAACATTAAGGCATCCAAGATGACCACCAATATTACTGCAGCTGGGAGTATTTACCCAACAGAGGGTGGATTAAAGCCAATATCAAATATTTCCTCACCGATTTAGTCAATAAACCCTGAATATTAGCTGCCAGTGCCATGTAATGAGAAGTGCTTGATAAAGACTGTTTAAAAGGTGTGAAGGCTGCCGGACTGACTGGTGCTGACACTTAGTCTCCTGTCTTTTCTGCTTTCTCACTGAGGTTTGCAAAGGACACTAGCTGGAGACTGTGAAACCTGGTTTATAGGACATAACATGAAAGGGTCATGAGACTTTATGAGGTGGCCTGTTAATGTCATTACATGGGTCACTGCTGTGTGTCTTTTTCTTAGATAGAGAAATGGAAGGATGTGGGTGCAACTGCTCTCAGTACACTTATAGAAGAATATTGATTTACAAGAGAATAGAATAGATTTTATTTTACTTTTTTAATAAATTATCTTTTGTCTCACTTTTAATGGTTGTTTTCCAGATTACCACAAGCTGAGGTAAACTGTCACTGAGCATTTTAAGTGTGTATTCACTGTGAACAGATTCAGTTTGCTGACCTTCAGCTCCACTGATAAGACTTTAATGTTTTGTCTCTGAAGTTTGACTGCAAGTTTTTTCCCCCCAGTATTGGATGCAAGCTGGAATGCATCTTTATTTTGCTAGATGTTCCCTCCTTGTTTAAATATGTGTTTACTGATTTACAACATCGAAGACCGAGTCTTACATAACAGGGCTTTAGCCTGAGCTGCAGCTTTTTGAATACATTTCTTTCAGTGATAGTCTATCTATTCTTGTAAAAAAAACATATCTGCCATGCTTCCAGGTCAACACATGCAGGTAACTACAGCCTGGACAGTAACCATTTCATGTGGGTTTTTTACAGCAGTTAATGCAGGTCCAAACAGGTGTGGAAGAGCACATGTACCTGAGAAGACCTACGAGCAAGAAGAAAAAATGTTGATTTTTGTTTTTGGCCTGCAAAGATTCAGAAAAAACACAACTGAATGTGTGAAAAAAGGCTTCAATTTGTGCACAAGACCTGCAATTTAATCTAGGACTGGGGTTGTGCTGTCTGCCTCCGGCTAATGTGTATATAATCACAGAGTAGAGGTGCCTCAAAGAGATACAGTTAGTAAGAAGAACAACATCTGATCATGAATTGTTGTCCCTCATGGATTTCTAGCATGTTTTCTATTCAACTTGACTGATATTTATGTGTTTTGATATATCTAAAAGTATCTTCATATTTCTCCAGTAAACATGTAACTTGTATGGTGTCTTTGTGTGTGAGAAGACGCTGGCATCGAGCCAAACACAACATAAAAACAGATCAAAAATGTTAGTTTTTTCCCCCAAAGTCCTGCAGCTATGTGTGCAGATTCTTGTGTGGGTTGTTTGGATTTACTGGTCTTATGTAAGTGCTATCTGCTTGTTTCCGTTCCAGATGTTGAGCTCCTCAATGTACTACTCAACATGCATGTAACCAGTAACACAGGCTTCAAAACAGGCGTCCCATTGCCTGGCGGAGACCCCGGTGTGTCACAAAAACACTCCCGCCCCATCAGGAGCACTTCAGGCCGAGGGTTGATAGCTCAGCTGCACACTTTTAATCTGGATCCAGAGACGGACATCATTATTACCGTGGTCCGAGAGGTGGACATGGAAACACATGTGGGTGCGGTGACCTTTAGTCTGACCTCAGTGCCCTGCCAATTAACCTGTGGGAGAGTCACGGCAAATTCTTACTTCTCTAAGAACAAAATGTTTGTTTTTTCATGTTGGTCATTTCTTACTTTAAAATCACAATCTGTGCAAATATAAAGCTCACAACTGTTGCTCTAGCTCTGGAAACCCCCACCGATGATAAATAGATACACTTCATGCGGACGTGATGCAGCTGCTGAATGTGACCTTTGAAGCAACTCGTAACCCATGCATGAGCAAAAATAAAATAGGCCATCATTTTTCGGAAGTAACTTCTACTTTATCCATTTATGGAAAACCCAAGGTCGGCTTTCTTCTTCTTTTCTGTAATTATGTATCAGCTTTGCCTTTTGTTCCGCTTCACATTTACAGTCATCGCTGCCTCCAGAGTGTCAGATAACTTCTATAATTAAAGTCAAATTTCATACCCAAATGTTATCAGAAAAGCAGCAGGTCACACTGCTCTCTGTGGCATTTTAAAAATGTATTGTCTAATTTCACGTCTTCATTTTGTCTGCGCAGACACTGCAATTTATCAACTTCAGTCTTGTCTTGTTGCGAAGCACTTTCATAGCTCAGCTATTTTTAACTCCAAAGTAAGCTAAAGAGCACAATGCAGAGAGCAGAGCGCAGGGAGGACTTTACGATGAGTCCAACAGGCTTATCTAACCTGACACAAAGTGGCTGAGTCACGTACATGTCTCTCCATTCTACACCTTTAAGAGTTAGTTGAAAAGATCGAAACCATTTCATGTCAGTTTGATAGATTGCAGCTACTATCAGGAGCAGATTGGCTTAGCTTAGCACAATGACTGAAAACCAAGGGAGGCAGCTAGCATTGATTTGAAGTCAAAATGGAAATGGAAAATGACTCCTGGTGCTTTCATGGTGACACAATTACTTACTTGAGACCAGTCATTACCTTGAGGTGGCCAGGCTACAAGTTGAGACTCCAGGGAGCACTATATTTTTTAGATTTATCGAATACATGACAAGTTTAATTTCTGAACTTTGGATGTATCCAGGCCAGATGTTTTCCCTATTTGTCCAGTCTTTCAGCTATAATAAGCTCAGTTTACAGGTAATAATTTAACCTTTAACAGACACACACAACAGAGTATTGATTTTCTCATCTAACTGGGCAAGAAAGTGACTTTTCCAAGATTTAAATGTGTTGATTTAAAGTTTAGTTCACCCAACTTAAAACATGCTAATAAATATTTTCCCCTTTACATCTAGTGGGATCTAACCAAGCAGACTGTATCACTTTTATTTGACCACACTGCTTTGTGTAATACTTGCCACATCATTAAGTCAGTCACCAAAATAAAGTAAAAAGTTAGACCAAAAGAAAAAAAATCACTAAGAATTGAATACCAGGTAACAGTATCCACCCATGAATAAATATTTTCCTCTGGACAGAATGGTGCTTATATTTTATGCTGGAAATATCAGTCATAGTTATTTTTCCAGCAGCTGTGAGTGCGCGTGCTGTGCATGTATAGTTCCTTTTGCTTACTGCCCACAGCAGCTGTCTGGTATTTTGAGGTTGGAGTGATTTTGCTACCATGGAGCAGGGAAACTCCCAGGGGGAGCTCTGTTGGCATTGTGTATCCAAATGTAGTCTGATCCAGAGCTCTGATCCCAGTGGTCATCCTCTAGATCGCTTTAAATAAACTTCCCCCTGCTCGGAAACCACAGACTTGAAGACATATCCTATCACTCTATTATCCACTTTGGGGAAATTGTATGTACACACGCCAATATATAGGTCAAACTGGAGTCTGAGATGTGCATATTTGTTTTAAACTTTAAGTGACCTCTTGAGTCTGATATGACATGTCATTTCCAAACCACAGCCACGTTTTTCAACTTGTAACTTTAAGTTTCTGTTTTAACTTAACTTAAGTTAATCAAACCAAGTGGAAAGTTAAAGAAAACAGGATATTACCAGATTCAGGTGGGTGGATTTTCCACATGCACTGCACTCCTGATAATTTTGCGATATTGTCTGACCTCTTATCTGATATTGAGCTTAACCTAAGAAGACTTCTTCTAGTCAGCCTTCCCTGCTAAATGGTCTGCATGAAATTGTGCTGAGCCGATGTGTACAAGCCAGTGAGTGAGGTAATCATGATCTGGATGAGCACATTTTTGTTTCTTTATTCTGCTCCCCTCAGTTGTCAGTATTATATTTTGTCCCATTTTATTTATATTGAAGAAACGTCCTTAAAAATGTATGAGTGATATTAATCAAACTTGGACATAATCTCAGTGACATCACCTCCGTGTTTTTTCAAATAAGTGTTATGAAATTGAACAATGGTGGTCGCCATATTGGAAATGCTGCCTCTACCTAACTGTCAGTCAATCTAGTAACAGACATAGAGGTGGAGCTGCGGCACCAGCGAATGCCCCCATCCGTCAGTCAAACCAGGCATAAATGCAAATTTACAAATAACGCTTAGGCTTATTAAAAACCAAAAAGAAACGAGTTGTAAAAAAAAAAAAAAAAAAAAAAAACATTTCACTCACTGCAGTTCTGATCAATAATGAAATTAGCTTTAAAGACCAAAACCGTTTTTTGAACCAGGCTGAACCAACATGTTTTTTTCTGATGTAAAAACTGGCATTTTTACATGGGTGTTAATTGGGCTTTGGGCTTTTGGAGCCAGCGTCAAGTGATCAGATCAAAGATCAAAACAGCATTGGAAGAGACACCAAAACATGCACAAATGGACATAAACACAAACACATGCAGACACAAACAGACATGAAAAAGTCTGGATTTCGCATGTAAACAAGTCTGCTCTGCTTAAAAAAAGAAAAGAGACTGTTTAACATTGCTCAATGGAAAAACATCTACCATCAGCTGATAATGCTTGATTATGAAACAAGCCATGCTTACAATGAGTGACTCAGCTGACAACATTAACTTCCAAAGGGAATTCTCTTAATCACTCCAGCTGAAAAACAGCTGCTCTCTGCCCAACACTTTGCCACAGTCACCAACATTACAAATTGAAGGGATTATTTTACACAGGAATCAGACGGGGGGCAGAGGTTTTGTTGGGAGTCTTGGAGACGGTGTATGGTATACACATTACCACAGCTCAGGGTGATTGACTCAAACGTGACTCACGTCTTCCTTGGGAAGTTCAACTGTTCACCAAGGGTAAACATGCAGGGATGATCTCAACCTCATGCAAGAGAAGCTCGCACACAAAGGGAATGCGTGCCAACATCATACAGCCTAATAGCACTCTAAACGCCTCATTTTACCTTGAGGAATGTGTGGCCACAACCAAATGTTGCTTCTTTTATTTAGGAGCAGATAAACCTCCCTTTTATTTCTAACAAAGAAATACTGCAATAAGCAAAGTATAAAGATCAGAGAGCTTTTTTTTTTTTAATGGGACAATGAACAAACCCCTGAGGACAAACCCTCACTTTATTTCAAAACAAGTGCTGTAATAACAAAGATTGCACAAACGTGTCAGTGTTGTTTTTCTTTGCTGTCTTTGTAAAAAGCTGGATTTAACATCACCGTTCTTCCCTGGGTTTTTTATTTTTTTTTTTTTTTACAAGCCCTGCTGAGCACTTTTGTGCTCTTAAAGGATAGGAGTGAAGAGGGGATGGAGAGAGTGCTGATGCCGGCTTTTTGAGAACAAAGAACATAAACCTTGAGGCTCTGCCAAACACACAGAGACAGTGAGAGAGGGAGAGACGAGTAGAGGAGGTAAAGTTCTTGTCAGTCTCTTACCGTAGGGCCAGGCTCTCCCTTGGGGTGAGGAGATAAGGATGAAGAGGAAGATGAAGAGGAACCAGCCCTCCTTCCCAGTGATAAAGGTGCTGGTCCAGGGGATTGTTTGGGTGCCCCTGTGGGTTTGACCCAGCTGCAGTCCCCGTCCCGCAGACAGCATGCTGCAGTCTGGAACTCTGTTTACTTTCTGAACTCAGCTGACATCACCTTCTCTCTCTCGCTCTTCAGTCCTTCCCTCCCCCTCCCTCCATTTCTCCCTCTCTCTCTCTCTCTCTCTCTCTCTCTCTCTCTCTCACTTTCTTCCTCTCTCTTACTTCTCTTTGGGTTCAGGTTACAGCCCAGCCTCGCAAAGGATTTCCACTTGCAGTGGTCTCCCAAAAACTCCCCTAACTCTGCTCAGAGGACGACGTCACTGCTTGTGAATGAATGCAGGCTCCAGCGTTTTTATGCCTAAGTCATTACAGTCTCACTCACACGCAGGCACGCACACACACGCACACACACGTACACACATATATACACAATGAAGGGAAATATTGTATGAGCCTGTTACACTGTCAAGACCAATAATGTGGTGATAGAATTTATGACTTACGACTTTACTGCTTTCAAGCTCATGACTAAAAAATGTGTGGAACTGTGTTATTGAAGTCCACACCTTCATAAGCTGAAAAAAAACAGCTGTGTGTTGCCCTAAATATTAGTGAAACAATCCAGTCTAGTCAATAATAAAGTGAGATGAATTGTTTTCTATTTTGAAGAAAACAACAACTGTAATTATTCAAAGACACTGTAGTGCTTTCTTGCACAGACTGTGATTATGCTGTTAGTTTAGCTTAGCATAAGTCCAAAAGAGCGCACATTTAGAAAAACATGCAGCGTATTCAGAAACGCTGCACATTCAAATGCAAACTCCCAAAACAAATGCGGTTGAACGGTTGAAAAACACCGAAAAAAGGCAAAACAACTGCATTAACATCAAACGCGCTGCAAATACAGAAACGAAACAAGTGAAAAAACACACATATTCAGAAAACAACTGCAAATACAGAAATGCTGAAAGTCCAGCCTTCACAACAGAAGTGCTGTAGGGATGCTCTGTGGAGCTGTTTATTTAAGGAAGAGAGTAAGAGAGACAGGTACAGATAGTTTGTAGTTGTATCATTGAATGGCACAGAATAACATCGGAGATAAAAGCGAGTCCGACCGTGATTTTGACTTCGGGGATGAGACAGCTAAGAGGGGGTTCTTGTGCTGCAGCTGCGGGATGCCTGGAGCTAATGCTAGCTCTGGGGCTAATGAGCTCCAGCTCTGCACCCGCTTTCACAGCCTGACTCATCGTGCTTTAGCCATCCCCACTGATATAGTCCAGGTTGAACTCGCTGTTCATCTCTTTGCTACAGTTTAACATAACTTGCGCCGCTTGGCAACTGCTTGGGGCCCTAGACCAGAAAGGGGCCCCCGAGGGCTGACAAACTTCAACCCCTAGCAGTGACACATCTACCACTGCTTTCAAGGCTCAATTATGAAAAGGCCATAGCTCATTTGTTGAATCTATTAGCTTTGGGAAAGATATATATTCGTCAACAACTTCAATGGTCAACAATCACTGACAATGTTGTTTATCTTATTTTGGAATAAAAATGGTCAAACAAATTCAAAGTTTAAATAACAGCAGAATACATTTGCTCTAAGATACGTTCTCTTCATACAAAGCTTGTTAGTCATGATGATCTTCAGGGTGTATTTTATTTCAGCTGGAAATAGCGCTGGAATTGATTCATTTGTTTTTTTTCTCACTGAAACTAAAAGCTACATGCAAGAGCTAACAGAGAGAACGGATCAAAAGACTCAGAGCAGGAGAATCAAATATCACTGACAGTTGCCTAAATCAGCAGGGTTTAGACCAAAGGAGGAGCATGTGTGCAGTGTTTCAGTCCGTCTATGTGCATGTGTTTGGTAGGGAATCGCTGACATCGAGAAAGTTTATGAAGGAAGTCGAGGAATAAAGACAAGGCGGGGGGTTGGAAGGAGAGTGGGAGGAAAAAAGGCAAATCAAAAAAGAGAGGGGGTGAAGGAAATATTGTCTGCTGTGTTGTGCTTCCCCTCCACCTTTCAACACCTCCCTTCTGTTTGTCCAGATGCCTAATGGTTTATTATGTGAAACCCAAGGCTTTTAGGTAAATGTGAATACTGGTTTCGTATTTTCAGAGAAACCACAGCTGCAGTGCAATCTGTCAAAAGAAAGAGGAGACGGCATAAATCTTAAATTGTATTACATGTATGAAAAAGGTTTACAATGATTTTTTTATTCCCGTTTAAATGGATTGTTTAGCTTAAAATGTGGGATATTTTTCTCAAACAAAAGGCAAACTACTTACAGAGCTTTCATAACTAAATGTACAATATGCTAAAACTTCAGTAAATCCAAAGGGATGGGCTGGTGGTACTGTTCCTACTTGAAAGAGTTGTGCTTATATCAACATGGCCTTTTAATTAAGGCTAAATCTGTGTCACAAACCCAATTCAGCTGTGTCTGATCGAGGTGAACTCTTTTCAGGCTTGAAGAAGTGCATCAGCAACCCATTAGAGTTGATTTTTAGAGAAAAAAAAACAAGAAACTGTGTTGGAAAAGCTAAAATAAGGAGGGTTTTTGTTCTTCATGGATGAAAAACCAGTGAACTGAGGTTTCCACTTGACAACCCTGGTGATGTCATGGCTCTTACTGCCCATCAGTCAAGTTGTGGGGACCACCTAGGGGCCGTGTGGTTGGGTGGGTAGTATTGGCATTGTCACTATCTGGAGCTTACATGTATGGAGCCTGGGTCTGCTGAGTTTGGCAATGCTGTGAGCTCTCTGATGGTCATGTGGTTGGGTAGTTAAGAAAAATAAGTTCTGCCTTTGGGGTATGATGGGAGGTGAGAGTGGAAGGGGGTGGGCTCTGGGACGCCGGAGCACACTGTCTTGCCTCCCAAAGGTCTCGTGAGACTAATTGGGCTGAACACCGGTGAAGGGAGGTTCCCATGTGACAACCCCGATGATGTCCTGGCTCTTGTGGCCCATGGGGTAAGGTAGATTAGAATAGGTTGCCGTCACTAACTGGCTAGCTTGCACAAAAAGAATGTGGCAATGCTTTTCTTGTTGCGGTGGCAACTAAGAGCCATAGGGTCGGTATTGATGCCTCTACTATATATGACCTACAGAAGCACACAAGACCGTCATTGACATTGACTGCTATAGTTAATTTAAATGCCTCTAACGATTGCCACAGGGTATAGGTGTCAGACTTGGACTCATGGCGCCGGTCATTATTTCTTCGCACAAAATATGAGCAAGGTGACAGATCAACATATTTCCACTCAAAATTCAACTTGACATTTAAGTAATCATACTTATTCTTGCACTTTTCACAGTGAAGATGCACTGTGAGTGATACATTTGACTTTTAAAAGAAAGCAGGATGTGATTATATTTTGTCAGAAAACACTACATCTGTGTATGTTCAGGACAGGATCAACAAAGAAATTCAAGGTGCTGTTTTATTCATTGATGGCTCCAAATTAGACGCAAACCAAAAGTTCCTCAGTGGAGCTCAAGAAAGCCAGGATTTTCATGAATCTGTCTTGATAGAATACGCCTCAGTTTAGAAAATGATTATTGTTCTTGTTTACATTTTTTTTGTCTTTTCCAACTATTATATTTTGCTAATTTACAGGATCATGTGATCCTTTTACTTTGTGCTCTTAACTACACAAATATCTGTTTCCTAAAAGTTTGGTCCTAAATGGATGTTACAAATTCTGTTTTTAGAGAAAACTGAAAATGACAAAAAAGTTGAGATACATGTTTTTCACTGAACATCGATGTCTCACGATAGCTGCTACATAATAAATTTATCATCAAGCATAATAATCTACTGTCATGTTGCCTGCTGTTATTTAAATGTTTTGCTCTACAGGAGTCTTTTTGGTTATTGTCACCTTGCCAGGAAAAAACAGACCCTGCTCCATGTCTTCATTTATCATTACTGTAGCAAAGACTCCTGCAGGGAAACATTTTCTCACGCCCCACAGATCGAGTCTCATCCTGGGTTGCATTATAGAGGCTTCTCAGTTGGCACCACAGTGACTGCGGTTGGTCATGGACAATGGGCTCAGTGCCCACAGTGCACAGGAAAATCTCATTACCTCGCACATGAAGGAGGCGATGCAATAGGGGCACAACAAATTACCTGGGAGTCATTACACTTAATGACATCTACTGTTGACTGCACTTTGGTTACACAAGGTTCCTTAGAACTAGATTTTAAAGCAAGATCTGTCCAGAAATGTTGTCTAATCAGTAAATCATTAATGGTCTAACATGTTTTTGTGGTGATGGAGGCCCAAGACATCTCATGGGGTCAGAAAAAATGAAGGTGTCTGACATTGGAGCCATGTGGTTTTAATATTAATGATCAAATCACGGCATCACATTCAGCCCATTGCTATGGTTACAGAGTGGACAGGGAGTAAACACGAGCACTTTTTTTCCCCTTAAAAGCAAACTGTTTCGCTGTATCATGGCCGTCTCTCTTAGATGTGGTGGATGGAAAGTAGGCCGCCTGCTTCACAGGTAAGACGGGCGCCTTAAACAGCTTTTAAGCAAAGCTGACACCGACCGTTGCCAAGAGCACAGAGCCATGACGAGGTGCAGTTAAGTAACCTAATGGAGCAGGACACTGTCGGACCAAATGCCAAATATGCTCTCATTTAAGCGCTGCACTCTAAAGAGAACACTGCACTTATGAAGATGCTGTGATGAAGTCTTTTAAGGCTAACTCTCTGAACAGCCACTGTGTTTATGCATAATTATCTGTCCCCAAAGAGGGACGGAGATCTGTCTGTACTTTCTACCTCGTGGGTATTTTTCCTTAATTACACCCATGCCTTTAAGGAGGGAACAAAGAGAGGTAAGACAGATGGTGATAGTGACATAATATTCACTTTATGATAGAGAAAATTAGGCCAAATTAGCTTGATTTTACTAGAAGATGAGTTAGTGCACATGAGTTTGCTTCAGGATGTGTGCCTGAGCTTTCTGGCCCTGTTTACATGAAGCCCATTCCCTTGCATGCAAATAATCCCCATTTGGACATTTCATACATGCCTATAGGTATGTCATGAGAGATTACATTAGATAAATGGCCTCAAGAATTGCATTTCATTTTATTACTGC